TGGAGCATACGTTGGATATCGTCGAAATCGACGGTCGAACTATTACATGAGCCTGTCTGGCTACCCCCACTACTGAAAATGCAGCACAAAGAAGCAGAGCCGGGCAGTGGAACATACCTTATCAGATGGGGGTGCCGGTTTGAGGGTGAAGAAGTTATCGATGCGGCCTTGCGTTGTTCCAGAACGCGCCTTCACAATCTTCTTCACGGCATTGCGGACACGTTCTTCACTGAATCAAAATGAAAGGATGAGGGCATGACTTCAGTAGAACAAACACAGATAGTAAAAATACAGTAAACTAGTCTAGGAATTGAATTTTCATAGGATTCTACAGTTTGCGCAAGGAAAGTTGTCAGGTTTTCAAACCGCAGCAGGAGTTTATGAATATCACGTTTACAATTAAGTTATGGAAGGAAAATCTTGTAAAATACAAACTGACCATACTGTGCAAACAGTGTGATAGGGAGAATTCACGACTTACTTGAAGCCATTTTTCGCACACATGAACTCAACAAGGCCTTCTTCATCAGGTTCCGTCCACTTCAACTACAGAGAAATAGGCAGAAGTTGTTAGAGACAAAGCAACGACGTAGTACGTCAGAACGCCTCTCACTACAATCAATCTAAATCGTTCGAAACCTACGCAGATATTAGTGCTAGAAAATACAAGGGAGAATGGAATGACCAATTCTGGCTTTTTAGCCGTCGTCAGCCAGTCATATCCGAACCCAACGGATGCACCACCCGAGGCTCGAACTCGCGGTTTTTAGATCAGAGAATATACTAGGCTACTAGCCGCTACGGCTGCAGTCAGGGCCCGAGGAATGAGACACAAGGCACCAGTGGGTTCCACTGGCGGTCGGTGAACGTTCATCAATGAGTGTCATCTGAAACTACCGCCAAGGTGTTATGAATCGCAACTTCAAATTCTGACAGTTGACGGGATATCTTAGTCCTGCTAGAGACTAAGGTTCGGACTGCGCGTGCCTCCTTCCTGTGTGGCGTTTATGGTCTTATCATCTACGTGAGGTCTTAAGCCTCCGTTTGGCACATGTATACTGGAGGAGCGCGTCGTGTGTGGCACGCGTAGACGGGATATTTGGTCCCTCCAGCTACTGTTGCCACATTCACCTCCCCCTTCCCCCGGTCGCGTTGACTGTGTCCCGCCACCAAAGCAAGGTGAGTGAGGAACTTTAGAGTGCGGCAGATGCTGCGCGGTTCGCCGATATTACGCCCAGTCCATGGACACAGCAGTGGAAGACGTCATCGCTTGTCACAGTCGAATTATTGTCATTGGATCATTGGAGAATTCCAGATGGGCACATCTACGGTTTGGGTTCCTTGGTTTAAGTATTGAAAGACCCACTTCACTTCTTTCTGAAAGTCAACTTGATTGCCAATACAAGCGAAAATGCGAGACCCCGGAAGTAATTGAAATAAAAAAGATTCGATCGCTGGGAGCGCAGCGATCGAACCTCCTTTTTCTCAGTCGACGTAATGCGTTCGGTGGCGTCGGATGAAAGGGGTGAGAGAAAAGGGGAGAAGGCGGCAAGAAAGGTCATCTGCAATTTCTACGTGCAATTACGATGATCCAGATATTGCTAAAATGTCTTTTAACTCAGGGGGTCTGATTCTGCTCGGAATCTATGATGAGTATCACACTTCCGGCGTTAATAGGTTGTAGAAAATGGCTAGTTGTGAGAACAACAGTTACTTAACGTTGTTGTATATGCTCTAGAATTTTAAAAATACAGAGAGAAGGGTTTGAAAAGCTCACCTCAATCTGTTCTGGATCTGTTATCTCGGGATTTACAAAGAGATTGGCGGCCTGCTTGTAGATCCAGCCCTCGGGTACGACGTACTTTGACTTATCTATCGACTCCAGAGAGGCCTCAATGGAGCCCAGACGCTGGATGAGGTCAACTGCCTTCTTCGGACCCACACCGCGAATTGTGTCGCAGTAATCACATCCCAGGAGGATACAAAGATCGATGAATTGGCTCATGCTGAAGTTGAGGGAGTCAAGAATTGTCTGCAGACGGAACTCCTGGATGGGCATTTTCCTGAAAGGAAGCAATTCACAAAGATGATAACTTTATGTCTTGGCGT